CATCCAGAGGGGTGGCAGATAGTTCCAACTGACAACCTGTCACTGGTGGGATACTCAAGCAATCAATAGTGGGCCCAATGCTGTTCTATGTCTTCGTAAGTGATCTCAATGACAGGATCAAATGTACCCTGATGAAGTTTGACAATGGTACCAAACTGAGTGGGGAAATGGACACTTTGGAAGGCAGAGCCACCCTGCTGCAAAACCTGAACAGGCTGACAGAACAGACTAATAAGTGCCTTACAAAGTTCAAAAAGGACAAGTGTTAAGGTCTTGCACCTGGGTAAACACAATCCAAGACTGCAGCACAGGCTGGGATCTACTTGGCTGGGGAGCAGCTCTGTGGAAAGGGAGCTGGGAGTCCTGGTGAGCACCAAGCTCAAGATGAGTGAACAGTGTACAGCTGCAGCAAAGAAAGCCAACAGGATGCTAGGTTACATCAACAAATGCATCACCAGCAGAAATAAAGATGTAATTATCCAACTCAGGGCTGGTCAGTCCACACTGGAATACTGTGTTCAGTGTTGATCCCCACTATACAAAAACCACATGACAGGCTGGAGAGGGTTCAGAGAAGGGCCACAAATATGATCAAAGGACTGGGAAACCGCCATATGAGGAAAGGCTGAGAGAACTGGGTCTGTTCAGCCTTGAGAAAAGAAGGCTCAGAGGAGACCTTATCCTGGGTCTGTTCAGCCTTGAGAAAAGAAGGCTCAGAGGAGACCTTATCATCATGTTCCAGTATTTAAAGGGTGGCTACAAAGAAAACAGAGGCTCTTTTTCCAGGTCACATGGAAAAGATGAAGGGTAATGGGCACAAATTACTCCTGATGAAATTCTGACTGGACACAAGAGGAAAATTTTTCACAAGGAGAACAATCAGCCATTGGAATAATTTCCCCAGGGAAGTGGTGGATTCCCCAGTGTTGGATACTTTCAGGATTCAGCTGGATGGGATTCTGGGCCATCTTGTCGAGACTTGCTTTTTGCCAAGCAAGGTTGAACTAGAGGATCCTTGAGGTCCCTTCCAACCTGGTATTCTATGATACTCTCTTTTCATATATTAACCATCACCACCACTCCAAAACACAAACACACTTTGCAGACCCCATGGATTCTTCCTCTCCCATTTATTCAAACCTGTTTTTCCAGTGAAGAGTAAAAAGAGTAACCCATTTATTGGTGTACAGATAGTCTGTATTTACAACAGTATCACAGAGAAGGCAGAGAAGAGAACTAAAGAGCAGATGATACAGGACATGAAAGGTATTAAAAACCACAGATCTTTATCGAGCACCCCTTTAATTAACTTGTGCAAAGACTGTCACAGACCCTGGTTTTAAGGAGAAAAAAAAAAAAAAAAGAAAACAAACCCCACACAAGGAGGAAAAGACTTGCTGCTTTGACAAGTGGTTGTAATAAATAAAATAGCAACTTGTAACCCTGGACAACTATGCTGATCAAATAATCAGTCTGGAGATGACAAATATAATTGAATATGGTACCCAGACCATCAAATATACCTCACTTTATGAGATCATGGCTCTGGTCAAGAGCCCAGAAAATACAGCAAAATAAAGCAATAACACCCTTAACCTTGACATCATAAATAAGACATATCATCAGTCCTCCTGTATCTCCACTCCCTTCTAAAAGCACAGGCTGAAAGATATCCACATGCTTATCCAGGTACTGGCAATTACAAATATTTTTCTTGCCTTCCCACTGGCTAATATGGGAAGATACAAGGTTTTCACATATTTAGAAGTTCCAAAACTAGCATAATAATACTGTCAACATGGATTTGTCGATAATGATTCTTTCCACCTCCTTGATTTGTGCAGTCACAGACTCACATGTTGGACAACAGCAAGAGAAGATTTGTCCATTCTGTGAAAACATGTCCCTCAAACACTGGATGTGCACTTGAGATGACAAGTAATGACCATTTGCTGCAGCCTAAAAATTAACTATGGTTAGGTAAATGTTAAAAACTAAGTATTTGCAAAAGAGAGCACTCTAGGGGGAGCAATGAAATAGATGCTATCTCCTAACTTTTAACAGCAGGACACTGGAGTATTTACAGGAGTCAGCAATATTGAGTTTTTCTGCACTCTTAAAATGTCGTTGCCATGTTCATCAGAATTTCTTTGCCCACTTTACCGGAGTTTAATATACATAATGTAGATCAAGTTATTTTTAAATGCCTGTTACACATGCAGTAGGCAAAAGAATCATTCCTGTTAACTGTCACAGGTAGAACCAAGCTTTCATGAATATCTGTTAGCAAAGATATTTTCACAGATTAACATAGCTATAGTTAGCTATTCACCCACAAAGCATTAATCCTTTTTCTATTCTTTCCCCTCCCACCCATAAAAAGCTGCTCATCAAGCAACTATCTATCTCCTAGAAAAACTAAACAAAAATAGTTAGGTTATGAAGTTAATGCAACTCAAAAGGAGACACACACACCACCACCCAAAAAAAGGCATTTCTGATATTTCTTTCATACAGATATTCAAAAAACAAGGATATCAATGAATTACATTTACTTCAAGGTTTGAGTCTGCCAAGGATAGGACTGCATTAGGTATTTATTTTCAGGTTTATTTATAACATGGATTGTAGGCCATTTAAATATTGTTGAGAGGAACACTTGAGACTTCCTACACAATCTTATGCTGTTTCCATTTGCATTTTCTTAATAGAACTTACAAAAACAATCTAGTGAGAGGACTCGTACTAGTTTCTCATTTCATGGACAATACAAATTGACTAAACTTGCAACATCAAGTCCTTTATTCTGGACAAAGGTACTTACTCTTAATACTTTATACAAGAGGGGAGGACAAACTAACAGAAACAGCAAAAAATTAAACGTGTAAAATCCTCACGGGCGTTTAACTAAACTCTTTCCTCATTTTACTAAGCTACCTTCTCATGTCAGAGCCCAGCTGACTGATGGCTCCATTAATGAAGAGGTGAGACACAGACTCCAGACTTACTTGATCACTGCCAAGATACCACAAGTATTGGTATGTATATTGTATACTACATGGCTAGAGATGGATACACATCTTCTTTGATAAGAAAAACAGAGAGAGTTTGAGACTAGGCTGGTGTGATAGACAATTTGCGTCATATGCTTCACACTCCTGAAATACCTATGTTCTTGAACCTCCCTGCAACATGTGAATAAATAACATTACCCTAGCAGTTGTTCTACAGCTAGGTTTGCTATTTTATTTCCCTTCATAAGCTGAGAAAGCGTAGGATTCAATTCCCATTTCAGCATGTACTGGTAAAGGTACTTGGACTTAAGAGTAGAAACATGCTTGTCTGTTTGTTAAGTGGACTACTACACATACACTCACAAACAGGAAGCTAAAAATAAAATCAGGTATATGTGACAAACATAGACGAGCTTCTCAGTTTTCAGATTATTACCACAGCTATCACACTATCAGCAGGTCCCCCATGAAACTGTTGCTGGGGGACTTCTTACTGCTTTAAATAATGCAGTACTCCACAAAGGCATTTTGGCAGTAAAGAAACGCTCACAGAACATATGTTGTTCCAGGAGATAATTTAACTTGTCTGACAGTTTTCGTATTTCAGTACATAAGAGTTCTAATTTTTAAATTAAATTAAATTCCGCAGAGCACATCAGGTCCAGTGAAAAGCACAATGTTCTCTTGCAGGATTTCACTGCTGCAATATAGATCCCACCACCTCTTTTATGACAGCAATGGATAAGGATTAGTTGGAAGGGTATTGCTGGGTTGCAGGTGGAAGCATTACTTATATTCACAGCCAGGTTGTCAAATTATTCCAGTAGAAATGTAAGGAGGAGAATTACATCAGAATAATTCACATTTTCAGAAATCAAAACTATGTCTTAAGTGTTCAAAATTCCAGATGTTTTTGAGAGTGATACACTCCATTACATTCTTGTCTTTTGCCTCCAGCTTACAATATTCAGGTTCTCACTTAAACACACTTCTAGATAAAATTTGAGTGATAAAAAAAATCCATTGCAATTACTGCTATTATTAAAAGCTTCAGAACAGAAGATATGCAGCTGACATTATATGTTCACAAATAAAAACCCTGCACCTCTTCTTTATTTGATGATGTGAATTTTTTTATTGATCCAATATTCCCACTAATAACCGCAAGATTGACTAAAGGAAAAAAATACTAACACGTTAAAAATTAAACAAAGAATTTTGAGCACTCTGAAAGATGAAATCAACTTGCTAATCACTTGCAAACAACTGGAAGAAAATAAGCTCATGCAGAAGAGCAGCTGTATTTTCCACCTCTTGAAAAGGAACATCTCAGCTGATCAGAGAACGAGTAAGCTTAAAGCCAACAGCAATACACAAACAGCAATACGGTTACATATTGGCATAACAACTGGATGGTGGCATAACAACTACGCTTAAGCAAGATAACGGCACACATGGTAAGAAGTGGTCCTGCTTTTGACTGATAAATTAGAATATTAAAAAAAAAAAAAAAGGTATATTTGCTCAACTTTTCTTGGCGTGTTACAGAAACAGCTTATTGGCCCCAAAGTCACCACAGAAGAAAGAAAAGAGCGCTGTAACAGTGCATCAAAAACAGCACACAAATACTCACAAGAGAGCTAACTACATTTTACTGACACTGATGATTGCTTCCAATTAAAGGCTAGAAAAGACAGCATGAAGAGACTAGAATAAATGGTACAAAACAATAAATAACAAAAACCAACACAAAAACACTCAAGTTTTTCCACTGACACCACTACCACAGCTTCATACAGCTAGAACAATCACAGGACCGACACAATGTTGGCTTCTTTCAGCATGAGGCCAGAATTCCAGAGATCAGCACAAACGTACCATTAAGCAAGCAGGGAGTCCTCTGTTTATTTATAGGCATCATTCTGGAAATGAAACTGACACTAAAAGAAAAAACTATAAAAAAAAAAAAAAACAATCAAGACTTACTTGTCAAGGAAGTCCTTGTCTACAACTGCACAGATATCAAGCAGAGGATTTCCCATTCCGAACAGGACATTTTCACTGCAAGAGAATAAATTATTTAAAGTTAACTTAGCATTAGTTTATTGAAGCCTTTTTTTTTTTTTTTTTAAGAGAGAAAAGTTTCTCCTGAATACAGTTAAGGAATAAGAAGATACACATTTTGCCCAGCATGGTAGTCTCATGGAGACGAGGCGTATAGACAGAGTCAATTTTGAGTGAAGTATCATCCTACAATCATCTTATTTGATCAACAGACAGACTGCAAGCAGTCAAGAATATATAAAAGCATTCTGTTTAGCTGCCATTCACTCAAATACAGAATTAGAGCTGCATGCCACATTCTGTAGTTTTAAAGGATTCCATTCAGGTTGTAATACCAAATTTTAGACAGGGGGAGCATCAGCACAGATTATAAGAATTTCCCTGAACAAATTTAGCTGCTGGGTTTTCTCTGCTACTGACCAATAATTAACTTATTAAAACAGACTTAAGTTGTTAACAGAACTATGGATTCTACATTGTCAGCCATCTTGAACAGCACAGCCATCTACCTTGTATGTACTTTCTTTAATCCATTTTAAATTCATTACCATGACTCTGGTCAAACAAAAACAAGGCATGAGGGATACTGTAAGCAGCTGAAAGAGCTAGCTTTAGTTTTTTAACTTTTTTTTTTTTTAGATTCATTCAGAAACCATGTGTTGCATTTTTCTGAATAGCATGCACTTGGGTGATAATGCAGTAATACCAAAGGATTAGATATGTGGCCTAGTGTCAAGGAGAAGTGAATGCAGCTGTTCTCAAGGCTGCTTAAAACTGCATCCAAACCCATCACATTCCTTGTTAAGCTGACACCTGCTGCCTCCAACTGGCAAGGCAAGGATTTTCTCTAGCCACGGAAGGTAGCTTCAGTCGGACCATCTCCCTCTTTACTACACCTCTATCAAGTATTTGCAGAGAAAGTTTATTCCCTGTCTCTCCATCCCCCAAGTACTATAATATTGCAGCTGGATGCAAGGTTTACCTGAAATTTATTCAAAGCTGCGTAACAGGGTCAGCTGAATCTCAAAGAAAGTGAGTTTTCAATTGTTCTGGTCCATTTAGAGTAAGAGAAAAGTTTTAGAGATAAAAGAATATAAAAGAAGAAAGGGGATGATATGGAACAAACTCATTCACTTACTTCCTCTCAACTGCTACGAAAAGCCCTTTGCTGACAAATATTTGTCAAATTTGAGGCTACTTGCCAGAAGCACACAGTCACACTTCCTCTTTACAATGCCACACTAGTCACCATTAAATGCTAAATTCTGAAGTCCAGAAAAGTGGAAAATATGATTAATAATCTTGATATTAATAAATTGCAAACTATGCTTTAAGTATCCTATTTTTTTGTTGTAGCTTTAAAGACAGGCCTTTACAGCCCATTCACTGTACGTACAATGTGGGAGACATTCCTTTGTGAAGAGAGAGCCAGAAATCCAGCTCACTCCCAACTTACATATGTAACAACTGCTTAGTGAAAACCTTTAAGATTCACTAAATACTTTTGTCAGTGTGAAAAGAAATATTGATTCCTCTAAATCACATAACCATAAGCTCTATCTAGCTAAAAGCAAAGAAGGAGACAGATGACAGATTAGATGACAAAATGATAGAGGTATCCCAGCTGGAACTCCAGAACAGGACATTCTCTCCATTTTAAAAACTAAGTATTGCATCAGTAGCACTGCAGGACAATGAACGAACAAGTCAGAATTCTAAATGTGTTTAAAGCAGATTTGTCCCAAATTGTATGCTCCAGTACTTGATGTTTAGCTAATTCTTACATCCTGTGAAATTCTACACATCAATAATTTTATACCTACAATTAAGAAGTATCACGGATACTTCTGTGTAAGACAACTATCAGCACATAACTGTATGGTATGCCAGCAAACAGCAGCTGTACTTCAAAACCTCTCTGAAATACAGCTGACATGTTGAGGTCACTACCTATGAATAGGTCACCTTGTTCAATGGAAAAGTAAAATAGAAATTAGCAAGCATTTAAAAAGCTGCGGGCTGCAGAACATACTGGTAAATATACCTGAAGCAGCACAAGAGCAACTTTGTACTGGTTTAGCGTCCACTAGTTCTATTAAGCCAGCAACATGCATTCACAACTCCTCTTACGTCAGCAAGGAACTACCATTTCCATTTATTCCAGGCAGCTCTTTACATCACATACAGTAAGTCCTGTTCCATCCTCAAGCCTTCCTTCTCCCACAGTATTTTATAATCGTACGTGGCCAATTATTCTAAGGCTGTGTAGTAGAGTACCATCTGGGATAGAAAGTTTTAAAAGCCAAAGTAGCTATCACCAGGCTAATAAATGTATGTTCAGAAACATTCTCCTGACGCTTCTGAGCTAACTTGCCACAACTTCAGCATAGCCGTTTCATTCAATCAGATGTAGGATAGCAGAACTTGACAGATTTTCAAACACATAAAACTTTGAGTATATTAACTGCTTGATTCCTGTGAAGAGGCACACAACACAATTTGTTCTTGCAAATATCTAAATATACAAAGTAACACATATGACTAGCTAGCCTTCTCATTTCAATTAACACATATTTCTACATTTTTGGTTGTTACAGCTGGATGTTTGAATTAACTAAGCTCCAAAGTACTAGAACTTCCATGCTTAAAACAAGGTATTGATGTCACATTGGCAAAAAGGAGAAAAATCCATACACTCAATTTGTACTGGAGGCTGTAGTTGGGTCATTCTTTAACTGACACTGCTTTTGGTAAAAGTACCTTTCCGGGAAAAACGGGAAATCTAAACAATCTCTTTCCAAGTATCATATTTTAAAAATGCAACAAGTTAAAGCAGACATTTAAGATCACCCCTGTGATCAGCGTTTTCTAACATGAGCCTTGTGATTCACAATCTGGGAAGTCTGGTGTTTCTACTGTTAAAGAGGAAGACTTTGCTATGTAAATCCTTAGCATGTTCAACCTGATTAACCCAACACTGGCTACATTTCAGCACCCTAACAGTGCAAAGTATCTGCACTGTTACACTCTTGCATTTTTTTGTGGCACACCAGTTATGGCAGTTACTTGGCTACAGTTTGCTCCTCTGTAATACTATTAATAATAATAATAATATCACATATATTCTATAAATCCACGTATCATAAAAGCAAAACATCAAACACAATATTTAGGATCCAGGAGAATGCTAAATGTACAAGTCTCCGGATCAGGAAGCTGATATAAACTGTTACATTCTTCACCAAGTTTAACACTTCAGCAGTACAGGTGAACCTTACTGGCCTTACATTTGCTGTTCAGTCACACTGAACACCTGCACTGATTAAAAATACCACGGATTATTTCCAGCCAGGTAGATGCAAAGCACAGTAAGGAAGCAGCAATAGCTTCCTGAAATGTGAGATTTCACAATACATAGGTTATTTCATAGAATCACAGAATCATAGAATAGTTAGGGTTGGAAAGGACCTTAAGATAACCTAGTTCCAACTCCCCTGCCACGGGCAGGGACACCTCACACTAAACCATCTCACCCAAAGCTCTGTCCGACCTGGCTTTGAACATCAGAAATACATCTCTGCCACAGACACAGAATCCTTACGTACTCCACAGCCTCCTTGACTCCCTGCAGTCCCTTCTCTTGCACAGGAGTACTGGTATCTAATTATCTGAGAAGGGTGTTCTCGTTTAACCTGACTAACCTATTGCAAGAAAGCATTTGGCTCAGGTCTTCAAGAAACAAATGACATCTCCACCTGCACAAATTAAGGGCATTAAATGACTACACACAGTCAATATGTATGTATGAGTATATATATACACACACATATGTAAACTGTATATATATTTTTTAAACTCCAAACTAAGAACAAGATGTTCATACAAATCTTAAACTTGTTTGGACACAGAAATACACTGTCTACCTACCAGGCAAAACTACAGCACCAATGGAAACTTACATAAAGCTTGGATGTATGCTGCATTTGCATTCTCAACAAGTAATATCTTTCAAGAATTTGCCATTTAACACAGGACTAGATGAAGAGCAAGTTGTAATTATTACTTCAAACAATGTAATTCATTATAAATAAATCTTTACCTGCTAATTGTGGCATTCTGTTTGGAGATTGCCAAGATGACTGATTTTTCACAAATAGTCAAAACCACACCAAATGACAACACACACGCATCAGTACTGAGCTACCCTTCAATCATTTTGAAGAAGTCAACAAATTAACCATAACTGAATGATCTGGAAAGCCCTGCCCAGTATGATGGTTATACATAACCAATACCCAACCAATGCTCACAAAAAACGCAGTCCTGTTTCTTGCTGGCTGTTGAACATTAGCAGTGCTGTATCCAACTATCACACAATACTTTTATCGTCATATGCTGCTGAGCACTTCAGTGGAAGAGCAACATCAAAATATCAGTGAAAGCATATTATTAGTTACTGGCACAGAGACAGAGGAGTATTTTGAGCCTTCAGATACTGGCATGTCTCGCCTTAAGAAACAAACTGAAAAAAATATCCCATTATTCCTAAAAAAAAAATAAAACAAAGAACCCCACATTTTTTTCTTAATTGCTGCAAAGATTTTTCTCATCTACAGAACAGTAACTAAGACTAAAGCCAAGCCGAAAAACTCATTTTTTTTAATTGTTCTGCAACAGCCTTATACTGGTGTGCAGATGTAACAGACACTTAAATTATTCTGCTAAGACATTTTGCAGTCAGAAAGCCTTAAAAAAAAACACTGTTGGGACATTTGGGTGTCCCAACTGCATGACAGCCTGCTGTTGCCTAATCTTCCATTTACAAATATAAGATATAAATTTGTAAGATCTAAAATGTTAGTATTTCTATGGGGTTTAATTACGCTTTTAAAAGTAAGGCCAAACAAGGCATGTTCTAAGCCTGTTCTCAATATATCCCTTTCCGTCACATAGTTAAACCCCATATAACAGAAGATATGAAATTATCAAAAAACATT